TTTGCTTTTTCTAAAAAAAAATTTTCTTAAAGAATTATAAACAAGAGAAAAGCATGTGAACAATAAGTGCACAGCTCAATGAATTTTCATATATTAAACTCGTGTAACCAGACCCGGAGCAAGAGCAAGACACACAACATTACTAGCACCCTGAAAGCTCCCTGTTCCCTCCAAGGGTAATCCCTACTGACTTCTAACTTCACTGACCATACTTCAATGGGTTCTAATTCTTTAAAACTGACTAGTTATAATACAATAGATGTTGAAGAACTTAAAGTTAACAGATACAGATATACAGACCAGATATACAGATATCTGGTCTCAAGATGCAAAAGTACAAAAAATTTATCAATTAAATGAAATACATCTTCCAGGATGGTATACCTTTGGTTAATAATGTCCTCCATCTCACCCCTCTTCTTCCCTCATGGAGGAATTCTTATGTGTGTTCCAAAACCTGGAACTTGCCTTGATTCTCTACTCTAGTTTAGATGTACTCCCTTCTCCTATTCCCATATATGTTTATCACAGTACTGGACACACTATTCTTATTGTAAGATCTGTGAATCTTTTTCCTTAATAGAGCTTAAATACTTGAGGCCAGAAACCCTGACTTGTCCTATGATTCTTTACTTTTACCTACTCTAATCCTTTTCAACATGGTACCCCAATAAATGACTGCTGGATGAAGACCCACTGGTACAGAATCTGCTAAACTTGCAAAATTATTTAAGTTAATACTTCCAGGTCATAATAGCCTGTATGTACGGGTACATACAGGCACTGAGTGCGATGAAAGCAAATATTATAATATATATCCAAGAATATTCTGATTAAAGACAGAAAAGACAATTTGGACCCATAGTTTTATAACAGTAAAAAGTGAAGTAAAATCTCAAGGAAGTAATGCTTAATTGAAATGTACGGGTAATTTTGAAGTAATGCATTAACACTAAGAATACTTCCTTTGGAATCAAAATGAGATTCTAACTACAATATGGAAAATTGCTTTCAAAATAAAAAGGCATAAATTTTTATATACTCAAGTAAACAGATATATACAATGAAAATCAAATAATATGATCTCATTTTAATTTGACATATCCTACCCTGTGAAAATAGAAATATTAATATTATAAGGACTAACATACCACTTTTACTGCACTCAATGAAATAACAACTGGACCCTCAACTATTAGTGACATTTATTGGGAAAATATTTATATAAATAACAGAGATTAACCTTACCGCAAATAAATGAATTTATACAGAAATTTTTGCTAGAGCTACATGCTCTCTTTTCTTTTCCTTAAAAAAGATGTTTTTCTATAGTTGATATGAAAAATATTCATCAACTTCCAATTAATGTGACAAATACAATACAGAGACTTATACAGTTGACACACTCATTAGTCAGCTGATAATGACAATAAAAAGAACTTCACTTACTGCTATTTCTCTACATGCCGACATAGAGATCCCAGTTCCTTCTATTTGTTTTAAAGCATAGTCTTTATCATCCTTCCTGTAAAAAC